CACCTGCGTTTTCTGTAAGGTAGAGCAAATAGACCAGTTGAACTGTTGGTAAGTAGAAAACATCTACTGGTAGTGTAGGATACCTTTGAATCAGTGACAGATAAGATTCCATCTCCTGTACACCAACAAAGAAATCACGAAACCACCGTCACTGAATAAAATCCTTCATTCTTTTAATGACTGACAATTAGGAATTCCAACCGCGTGCATACACTGTGCACGAGTGACAACCTGGCGTGCGAATAATTTTTATTCGACAAACATAATTTCAACAATTATTATTGTGTTTACAATACCTCCGCGATGTGTACGACATATTAAATTGCTTTATATCATTACATCGACACACAAGCTCATAGTTTCGTTTTCTGTCGTGTAATAAAATATAATGGGGCTCATGATAAACATGCGGTTCGCATAGCTGGAAGAACATGAGTTGTTAAACCAGTGCATTCGGTTGATTTACGATGGCCGAGGGTGATTGCACGAAATTCTTGGCAAGATGCAGTTTTTTCTGTTGGAAGGGAGCTGGAATTGTTCACACTTTTGGCAATTGAGTGCTATGAATCTGAATTCTCTCACTACTTCAATGATTTTATATGATATAAGGTTACCGTCTATTAAATTTCCATAAATAATAATCATGGTTTTTCATTTATTCATCTTTCAAATCATTATGACATTAGACATGTCAGAAAATTCCTTGAATGTCGAAGTTTTGAGTTTTGGGATTGTCAAGTGTTTAGTTCGTGTTGCAAAATTATGAGTGACTTGAAGTTAATATTATATATTTCGAAAATAAAGCTCTACAGCTATATCTCGGTGTAATGTCAAATATGATTCTCATGGTTCTTTTTTGTACAATAAATACACGTCTTGCGCCAGCAGAAGTAACCCACATTAGTATATTTTGAGCCATGTGAGAATAGGCCGAAAAATAATAGACCGTCTTGATACCATCTAAATCTAGCAACTCTTTGAGCTGGTTTTATCTAAGTACATACCTAGGAGTTTGGCTGTAAATTCTAGTAGTTTTGATGACACACTTGACAATAAAATTTGGCGATAGTTGTCAATATCTACTTGGGATCCTTTTTCATGTATTGGTATAACCTTTGCAGTTTTCCAGACTTCAGGAAAAACTCCCTCAAATATTGATTTATTTATTAGCTTCACTAGAATGCCCGATACTGTTGGGATGGCATATTTCAGAGCTTTCACTGGTATATCATCAAATCCACTCGATGATTTATTTTTCAAATTATTCATCGTCGTTAGTACCTCAGGTTCCAACACTTCCTTGAAACAAATAGAGTTTTCATTGAAATCAGCGACGGAATGTGGTACTGACATATTCTGACCTATGTAGCTTGACCGATTTTCAGAGGCTACCTTCGTAAAGTTGGTAGCAAACTCATTTACAACTTGCGAATTATCAGTTAACAAGACATCATTTATTTCAAGGAGGATATTCTTCTTTTTTATGTTTTTGTTCCTCCCTTATAACAATAATATGCAGAATAAAATATAACGGAGTTACATCAAGTAAAAAACAATTATTATATACAATATACATTCAAATACATATAAATGATACACATATTATGTACGGCCACTTTTATGGAAGTTTTTCACTGAATAAATAGTCCGATCAATTCAAAGCTCTTTGAGGTTCATTTCTAACTTTGAGTAGTACGTAGACAATTGAAAAGTCTTGCTCTGGCCAAAAAGGGTAACTTTTCATAGGTTGAAGTGCTGTGTTGTTTAATTTCAATTAAATTTCCTGATCTTGTAGAATATCGATGACACTGATATTTGGACTCGTCATTCATATTTTTCCACGTATAGACCGAACGACCATAGATATAAATTGCTGGGAAAGTCAAAATTTTATTTTGAGGAAAAATTCTTTCTGAGCTATAAAAATAAAGATCCGCTCCTGTACAGACCCCCTACAAGATGACATTGTATGAGAGTGTAGATTGAACTATAGAATGATACACTTTGTTCAAAGATTTTACATCCAAAACCTGTCGTAGTTGCAATAGTGCTTAAAAACTGCTATTAAGTTTTCTAACCACATGGTTTGAACAATTGAAACACTTGATACCAATATGCTTTGGTGAATTTTCACAGACTGATAACCTTGAATAGGGTTGTCGAAGTTTTTCTTTATTTCTAGTTTCATACATATGAGTGTCTTTATTCCTCATTAGTTCATTTTGGTTACATTTTATATACATAATCAGTTCAAGAAGATATAAACATGGAGGGGTTAGTATTTGGAGATTCTTGAATAAAGGTTTACATGTTGTGGTTGGATGAGCATGACAGATCGTTCTTATTATCCTTTTTCGAGATACAAATGCCCTTTCAAAGTGACTGAAACCTGTATATGATTATTAAATCTATTTTTACCAAAGAATTCCAATTATATCTATTTCTCTGCATTAACGATAAGCTTATTATCATGACACCATGTCGTAAAATTATTGCTGATAAAATTCAGCTTCATCGAGCTCCTCAGGACTATCTGGTGCTGCAGAAATCGAAGTGTCATCACCATAAAGTACAATTGATTTTCCAATATACTCTGGGAAGTCATTAATGTATAGCATAAATGTTAAAGGCCCCAACATGGATCCCTGGGGAACTCCAAGTGAAGTGTCCGAATCAACACCATTGAATCTAAGGTATATTCTTCTGTACCTTAAAGCTTAAACAAATCCACCTGAGGAGCAATACCGAATTTTAAAAGATTTTATACAAAACCATTTTCTACTAAGACCTATCTGATTTCTAGAGGCGTTTTCTACTGAACAGTATTGTCTCTCGTTACTGAAATTTTTATACCGGGCTATACCAGAGTCTATACCAGTGTATTTGATTATTTTCGGATCCTACAGTAACAACCGAAGTGTTAGGAGTCATTGTGGATAACAATGGAAGCCACAAGTAGATTATTGCTAAGTTAAATTGATAATTTATAGCTGCAGGAATATATATTTGAAGCATGCACATATGTATACCCCACAATACAAACAAATTGGCTGGCAATATACTATCACTTATCCATTTGACACGAAATACCGATTAACTCCAAAAAAATGTTTAAAATATGTTTTTCCGTTAAGCAGTTATTACACCCCTACGGACGACAACCCTCAGAAGTCTAAACTTATGCGAGCTGAGGACTAACACACCTAACCAGTCAATATCTAACTGTACTCTACCAAAAAATTTTGAATATCAGGGATGCAAACTGTACAAAAACTTCCCGACGACATTGAAGTTTCAGGAAATGTACATATTTTCAAGACAAAAGTTAAGCAACTATTGTCGAAAAACTGCTACACTGCTGAGGAGTGCCAGCCGTAACTTTATATTCCATGTGAAGTGTACGCTTTATCTTACATAAACTTTTTTTTTATTCATACATACTTAAAAATAGTTACTATTGATGTATGTTATAATTATATTTGATATTATTTGTGATAATTGCTTGTGACGTAGATGTGATGGTCTTATACATATCCAGATACACATCCATTATCGTTATTTCATATGTATATACACTTTTCTACATTGTTTCTCTATTACTACTGGACTTTATTGGCGTTTTTCTCTTTTTATTGGCATTATCACACTGTTGATATGCAAATTAATTTGTGAAAACGAAGCAATTATTATCATCATTATTTATACCCATAACCTGACGTACAACGAACTCTGTGACTTGCCTCCAAGTCTCCTTCAAGGAAACAGTCGCTTTCCAGTGATCGGAACCGTCCCGTCCGTCCCTGCCACTTCAACTTTCAACAAAAAGAAAACCTCTCCGGCGTCGCCGAGCTTTTTATGGCGCATAAAACTGTGGCTTGGTAGACGATACCATCTGCCATGATATGCCATTCAATGCCCGAGCACGGTTATTTAGAATCGATCTCGTTACTCATTCGGTCACTTCCACTGTGTACATGTAAATGGAACATTTGTTTTTATTACTAGCGCACCTCACATGAACTTACCCACGCTTTGTTAATAGACCAGCGACTTAGCCGAAATGGTTTCAAAATATCATCGACAACTTTTTCCCTTTCTAATTTTCAGAAAGAAGTCTGCTCAAAAACAAGGTGAATTTTATTTTTCCTTGGAAAACATTCGTTTTTCAATCCATTTTTATTCTGTTCTCTTCAAATTATACACTTGTGCCAATCCTTGTAGCAGGTCTAATATGCACTTTTTGGTATGTTCCTGATCTCTCTCAGCGATTCCGGTTTGATCTTCTCAATCGACGCGAGTCGCCGACCATTCATGAGTCTCTTCAATCTTGGGAACAGGAAAAAGTCGCAGGGAGCCAAATCTGGTGAATACAATGGCTGAAGCATGATTGCGGTGTTCTTTTTGGCTAAAAAATAACGAATATGTTTGTCACAGGCGGCGTTCATCTTCATGGTAATACTCCTCATTGACCGTATGACCATGTGGCAAGAACTGATGCACTACGCCACTGTAATCGAAGAAAACACTGTGCAAAACCTTGAAAGTCGATCCACCTTGGCCTGGGCTCTTCCAGTGGGACGATTGGTGTTTGGTTTCGATGTCAACCATATATATCAATGATTCGTATTATCACACTAGCTTGAAGCAACTGCCATTAGAGTCTAGATCAGAATCTTACTAGATCAAGTAATATGAGCTTTGGTCTGACAATATTTCACCAGACCATTCCTCACATGGAAATTTCTGACCCTGGTAGCATACACATTCTGTGCCTGGTTCAGGTTTTCGTTGTCCAACTTTGCCAAGAAACTCAAAAGATCGTTCTTGAAATAACAACATAGCTTCTTCTAGTTCGATTGAGTTTGATCTACAATAAACTTTCATAGGCTGCAACGAAGGGTCAAATGAGCCTTCGCACTTTGGCTCTTCCCAACTATCTACTTCTTAGTCCAGAAAAACGTTCCTTTATGAAAAGAGATTATTGGTTTATTTTCTTCCAGGGAAACCCTTATGCTCTCAAAGATGCAAGCGGAGCGACTGACATGTCGCCGTGGAGCAGTGCCGGTCTTCAACCAACAACAGGGTACTATCCGTACGATCCTACTTTAGCAGCTTATGGGTAAGTTCGAATTTAGTTTTGTTTGATTCTAGAACATCTCAACAGGCGTTAAATCACGTGGGACTTAAAAGGTGGGGAAGGGTTCGGGATGAAGAAATATCACAAGAGGGGAGAGGGAATAGTGGGATATCAGGGCAGCCACCTGGTTAGGCTTGCCAGTGCGGGTCTAAATATTGGTGTCGAAAATGGTTCTTGATCTATCAGAATTAAATTGGATTATACCTGACTCTGGAGAGAATTTCATGAGTTTTTCTGAATGCTTTGTACTAGAGAATACATGTGATTACAGCTGAGTGGGGGAGGGGGGGGGTTATGCAAAATATTACCAAGTATACCTGGGAGGACGGGAGGTCATTTTTCACAAAAAATATATTCGTCAGTAGTTGATCCACAAAACATTAACATTTTATCTACAAATTTTCATTATGAACGAAAACTTTGATGAAACTACAATATTGCTGAAAAACACCAGAAATTGAGTAACAAAAATGGAATATTCCCAGCCGAATAAGAAAAGAGTATAGAAGAGTAGGTTAGGTTAGGTTGGGTTAGGTTAGGTTTGGTTAGGTGAGGTTAGGTTAGAGTAGAGTAGAAAAGAGTATAGAAGAGTAGGTTAGGTTAGGTTAGATTATCCCAGCCAAGCATTAAAATATATTTCTATCATTGATTCATTTCTATTGTACTGACACTTACTTAATGGCATAAATACGAGCGAAGACGCAGGTGAAAGCTATCAGAAAATAATTGTTTGAAGCTAAATTATTTGAAAGCAATGAAAATTAATAAAATTGCCAATAGATCACTCTTATTGAACATGTTTTCTCAGAAACCAATTAAATTATATGATAGAATCGGCCGATACTTCTAAACCGTATTCTAAAAACACTTTATTGTGTGATTTCCACTACACAGTTTTACAAAAACGCAACACGTGTTTCGCCATACAATGGCTTCCTCGGGCGTGTCTTATGGATTGTAAAACTGTCTAGTGAAAATCACACAATGAAGTGTTTTTAGAATACGTCAACCAATTAAGTATTATCATTCATGAAGAATTGAATAATATGCTCTAGGTAATCATAATCGGGGATGGACCTTGGGTATATAAAAGTTGAGTAGCTACTTCAGGTAATCATGATCTAAGTATATAAATAGTAGAGTAAAGAATAAACTTTTCACTTCAAAAAGCTACAATGTTAGGGAAACATGTATAATTTTCCAAATGAAGTTTTTGGAAATCAGATTGCAAGGTGAAAAAACTCATATTTAACATAGGAAAAGTTGAAACTTTTTCAGAAATGGTCAACTACAACTGTCAGTATTGATTTTCATTCTTAAAAATATTCAGAAAGCTGTCACAAGCAGAGTGGAACAAACAAGACTCCTCACATATAACTCAACAAATAATTATTAGGATACTGCTTCAAATGCCGAAACATCAAATTTCCATTCGGTGTTTTGGGTGAAACAAGAACAGTTCATCCCGTTTTGAGTTTTCATACGACAGACTCACAAGCTGACGAATGTGAGAACAACTCTCACACTCCTCCAGTCAAGCAAATACCACACAGTACTTCATACCGACGTTATTCCAGTTGTTTTCACGATCTCGTTCTTTATTCGCTGTTAACTTTCATAGAGACCAATTTCCTGGCGCACCGTTCCCAGGATTTATTCTTCTCTTTATGTCTCGTTCTCTATCACCGAGCATAACAATCGAAAATACGTTGTGTCGTGACTAGTTTGTCATTGCGCTATTGGCAGAATGATTTTGTCGAGCGTGTTGCATGATACGATGTCCACATTTCTTGTACACACAAACAGAACAGATCCTACATAGATATCATGCGATACATCGACGGACATGCTGGTTTGTTCCCTTCCTGTTTGTGCTGCCATTGTCGCGTTTACTAATCCGTGGAATAATTGCACGGTGGGTTTACGTGTTCGACGTGATAGGTTTGGTTTGTGACAGTCGATAAATATAGCAGGTCGTCCAGGCTGACATGAAACTACAGGGAATTATTACACGTCGAAGATTTTCAAGAGATTACTTCCTTCAAACCGATAAAATAGTGGAAAAATTCAATGCTAGGAAACCGCAACAGAGCTTTGCAACGATAAAAAGCTTCTCTTCAACAGTCATTTCTTTTTCCATCCAGAAAAGAGCTATCCGCCTGATTGGAGACGAGAACATCACTTGTTTTGTCCTGCTTCTGAAAGGGCCCTTTCTTGGAGTGTTCTTTCTTCGGCTTCACTGGATTGTACAACAAAACGGGAAGTTAAAATGAGTTACCAAACAGTCGAAGATGACACAGAGTCTAGAGCACACAACCAGTAGTGTGTGCTACCCCTTGGATTTNAGATAAGCATACTTCAATCGAGTTTTGAGCATGCGCCCTTAGAAGTCGCTCCATGCCAACAATAATAATACTGATAAAAATAGAAAATTACAAATAAAGACGCAACACAGTGCATCACAAATGCCCACCGTTTTGAACTCATTTGGGTTCATTTTTAAGCAATACCAATTGAGTATCCAGCAACTCATGATTTCATTATGCTGATAATTTTCATGGTACTGCAAAATAACAAAGTTTTTGGTGAAGAATTGAAATTTATTGATGAAATTTCGAGAACTCGTGGTATTTCCTTCGATAAATAATCGCTTTCGTTTAATGTGGCTGGATATATTTTGAATTGTGGCTGATTTGATAACGTTAGCATCCAGTAACACGCTACCAGGAAATTTCAACCACCTTTCAATTTTGGAAAACGCAGACCTATGTTACATTTCAACGTGGAGTAATTTCCAAAAAATCCTACCCATCTCCTCCACCATTTTCTTTGGCGCAAACCCCAAACATATTTATTTCCAAACTTATTCTCTACGATCAGAGTTATATTTCTAATAAATAATCAATAACATCATATCTGAAACTTGAGAAGGAATTACTGAAATCAAAATTTTTTGTAACATTGATTTCATTTTGCTTTGCGAAGCATGGTTGAGATAGGACTCAGAGCATTTATTTTTTTTACTTACCTTGGGTAGTTTAAAAAGGATTTGACTTCTTATAGGATACTGAGGAACATTAAAATCTATGAGTTCGTGTATGTTTATATTTGTAATATGGTTGTTTATCACCTTGTATAAAAACATTATATAAAGAGATGATATTTTCGAATGCTGCCTCATATCCATTGATCTAACTTTTGTGTAATCCGGCCAACAATGTTTTTCTTTATAGTATAGATATCTCAGTAACCTATTTTGTATTTCTTCGATTCTGTTTAAATGCATCTGTGGTTGGGATTTCCAAATGAGCGAACCAAATTCTGATATTGGTTTTTCAATTGTGTTATAAAGATATTTTATCGTGGCTACGTTCACAAACGAATAGCTAAATCTTATAACGAATACCAATATTTAGTGACCCCTTTTACAAATTTCATCAAAATATTTCGAGAATGACAAAGTGTGATAATAAATAATCCAAAGATCCCTCACTTCGTTTTTTTTGTTAAGGAAAGTATCTCCAATTTTGTAACTGAATTCATCGAATTGTAGACTTCGATTACATGAATAGCAATATCTCAATATGCGAAAAATCAATGTTTTTGCGTCCACTAACGGAACCCGAAATTATAGAATTGATAAAGAGCTTAAAGCATTCAAACGCAAGTGGTTACGATGAGATATCAAACAATTTATTGAAAAAATGTTTTCATGAACTTTGCAGCCCAATGACGTATATCATAAACTTGACTTGGATAGTCTAAAACTAGCAAAAGTAACACCAATTTATTAAAAAGGGGATAGAAACCTCTATGAAAACTACAGGAGAATTAGCTTACTCTCAAGTAGTTCCAAGATTTTTGAACTAAATTTAAAAAATCAATTAATGTCTTTCTTCACAACAAATAACTTTTTTTCAGAAAACCAACACGGTTTCACAAAGAACAAAAGTACAGAAACAGCACTTTATGAGTTCAATGAGCATGTGGTTAATGCACTTGATTGTAAATTCCATATTTGCGGATTGTTCATAGACTTCTTCAGAGCTTTCGATTGCGTTAATCATGACCTGCTATTAGGGAAATTGGAAAGATATGGTGTAAGAGGAGTTGCCCTAGATTTAATGAAATCCTACCTGGAAAATAGAGGGCAACGTGTCAGTGTTGGAAACACTCTCAGTCAGTTGGCAACCATTAGGCAGGGTGTCCCACAGGGATCAATCCTTGGACCTATACTATTTTTGATATATGCAAATGACCTGATGAAATATTTTCAAGGATTGTCAACTATTCACACAGTAGCGTATGCAGATGACACAAATTTCATAGTGAAGGAAATTGATGTAACGACCCTACAGGAAAGAACCCAGGATGTACATANTTATTATTAATAGGGTTTCTTTAGCAAAGAAAAGGTAACGATATTACATTTATCTTCCTTGGAAGATTCCCTCATCCTTGTTTTTTTGTATCAAGATGGAGTAGTAGAAAGTCAAAAACTTTCTTTCCCAAATACATTCATCAATATTGAAGTATAATTTATTTTCAACTGTCCAATTATATATTCTATCAGTGTCTTTTTGTAGTGCAACACAATCTCTGACGGTTTGAATTTCTTTGAAGCATTTGAAATCATCTGCAAAAAGAGCCTTTCAGAGAAATATAAACATGATGTAAGATCATGAATGAATAAAACAAACAGCAAAGGTCCCAAGTTTGATTCCTGTGGAACACTCGAGTTGGTTTCGTTGGGATCAGAGTAAATACCATTATATCTCACTACAAAGTTACGATTCTGGAGTATTGTCTGCCCTGTAGGTGGCTTATCATAGTACCTAGTAGTTTTATGTATTGCTTATTCCATAGTTTTCGAAAATTTCAATATACTAAAGTTGATAGAAGATTTGATTTCACTAGTAGAAGAACCTAAACCGTTTCAGAAGGTATAGGTCCAGATGAATTGATGAATACTAACTTCATAT